TCCCTCCCTCCCTCCCTCCCTCCCTCCCTCCTCCCTCTTCGCAAGTTCGACTCCGTCCTGTCGTCGCTCTTTGGCATGCGGTTAGCGTTGCGTATCTTGCGGCCGCACTCGCTCACTCTCACTCTCACTCTCACTCTCACTCTCACTCTCTCTCACTCTCACTCTCTCTCATCTCTCTCTCATCTCTCTCTCATCTCTCTCTCATCTCTCTCATCTCTCCCTCATCTCTTTCTTATCTCTCTCTCATCTCTCTCTCCTCTCTCTCTCTCTCTCTCTCTCTCCTCTCTGTCTCTCGTCTTTCCGTCTCTCTTCTCTCGCAGGAGGATCCGGGCAAAGAGCCACATATAAAGGACTCTTCACCTGGAATCGTTTGCCCCGCCCAACTTGTGCAAGGCGTCCTGCCTTCTGCTACTCCGTGCGACTGCCTCCAAAAAGAGCGCCGTATTTTTTCCTACCTCGCTGCCCTCCACTTTCCCATTCTGGTGCGCTAGCTTTCGCCCCCCCCCTTGGCCTCAAGTACATATGTATATATATATATGGGTGTTCTCGCGGCTTCCGCCCATGACAGGGGGAAGATCTGCCCGACTTCGAGGACGAGGAGCCAAAACCCAGCAGTTCTGACGCACGGATTCCAGGTGGAACTACCCCCCTTGGGCCGAAAAAACGAAACAAATGCTGAAATGGAAGAGACAGACTTGAGGAAACTGGTACCGGGGGCCAAGAGATGCCATCCACATACGGCCAAGCGAGCAAAGTCTGTGTTTGTTTGGGCGTGTCGGAGTCTATTCCGGGGGTAGGATCCGTGAAGAACTTGGGAGTGAATCACTTGGCTTTTTGGACGAGGTGGTGAGCAGGTGAGGTGGCTCCCTCTGCTTCTGCAGACATGGTGAAGAGGGACAGGCTGTTTGACAAGTAGTATAAATAGACATATATATATATATAATATAGTAGCTTCTAGCTTCTTGTTACTAGTAGTAAGACCAGGAGCTACTAGTAGCGTCCTTTTGCCTAGTAGCGATGACTCAGGACACTCCGTTGCAAATGGTCTTCTGCTGCACCTAGGTATTCTTTGCCTTGTCTCACACCGTTGCAAAAGCCTTTGCATTCTTTGTGAGACTTTACACTTTGAGCTTCGCTCAGCTTCATCACCCTTGCTGCCCAAGCACGACTCAGTCAGATACGTGTTTCTTCTTCACCTGGTGCAGCTTGCACTCAATTTTATTGCGTGACTCCTTGAAAGCACTGATGCAAAGAAGTACAAAGAATGTGTTATGTAAGAAACACTGGGTGGGAATTCTCAGGGTATTTCTCTTCAACCAGATGCATTCAGATGCATTCTGCGAATTTCTTTTCTTCTAGGAACCCAAGGGTGACGAGGCCAAGGATGCTGAGGTCCGGAGGCTCAGGTGGACCTGCTCCTTTTCTTTGGAGTAGATGATCCCGGGTGACAGACCTCTTCTTTCACGTATCAATGATGAAATGTCAAAGAGTGTTTTAGGCTTCCCTCCGCAATTAGTTTGGGAGGTGGATTGTCAACACACATTTTTGGTCCAAGCAGCACACTCAACGATCCCTAAGATGCCTCAAGAGTCCAAAAAATGAAGATCTACTTTCCTAGACTCAGCAGGGTATCTCAACTTTTCTAGCTTAAGAGGGACCCAAGGCTGCTTGGAGCGTCTGGGCAAAAAATCTACCCCTCCCCAAGCCCTGACACAGCCCACTTGCGAGGATTGACAGGTTAAGAGAGTCTGTATCGGGTGCTACATGCTTGTTGGAAGTGCCGTTTCATGGAAAATTGAGAGATCCTGAAAGGACATTAGGTTTGCTTCATTCTGGGAATGAATGTGAACTGCTAGAAGGTGATTTTGATTGCTGTGAAACTGCCACATTGACTACCCCCAAATAGGTTCTGGCACAGGAACAGAGTGGAGGTGTTGAAACTCCAGTCAAGCTCTACGGAGCTTCACCTGTTGGACTGCGCGGGAAGGAGCCACACCTTTTGGCAGATCACGCAGATGCCGCTTGTTTTGGGCTGGCCACACCTGGTGTGGACGCAACAACTCCCAGGATCCCAGGAGTTGCAGGGAGTTGGGTGGGTTTAGTCCTGTGAGTGGATGTGACAGGGCCACCCTTATCCTCCTATCCTCCAAGAAGCACCCAACTCCATGGAACTGCTGGTCTTTCACCACAGGTGTTCCATTCTTTTGTTGTGTCAACTCAGGATCTGCTTCTGTCGTGGATCCGCTAAGGCGAAAAAGGGGCAGGCGGCGTTGCATGCCTCTGGCTTCAAGGACTTCTTGCTCAAGCGGGGCTCCTCAGGGACAAGGGGCCAAACAAAATCCCTCCGCATTGCCCCAGGCACACTCCAAGTCGAGCGGTTTGATGGACGTCTAAGCCCAAAGCTGAGGTGCAGGAAGGCATTTAAAGTAAGGCTGATTCTTCTGAATCATTTTCACAAGATTCAGACATCTAGATGTTCTTTTGACAAATGAAGTGGCACGCATGGAGTTCTGATTAAACCTCTTTTTTGAGGCAAAGACTCTGCATAGACCGTCACATGCCGGTTGGACTCCATCCACCCCTCCCTGCTCACCTCACCTCCCTCCCTCGCCGCGGCGATTTCTTCGCCGCCGTCCTCCCGCGAGGGCGGAGCTGATTCGCGCGATCGTGGATTGCGGCTTTGAGCATCCCTCAGAGGTGCAGCATGAATGCATCCCGCAGGACTGGTGGGGCTGAACCGTGGGGAGTTGTGGCAGACGGCTGGGACCGTTGGACGTGTGGGGCTGGCACTTGGGCCGAACTGAATTGGAGCCTCTGGTAGAGTGTAGACGTTCGAGGTGAGGTTCGAGAAGCCAGAAAAAGCCATCTGGCTTCCATCTTTAGGTTCTAAGGTCATCTAAGGTCTATATACCAGCACCACCCAATGGCAAAGGGTGGTTATTAGATGGAAAATACTGCTTCAGGGGGGTTTCTAAACCACCCTTGGACTGCTGGGTAAGTGGTTGTTTCAAGCACCGAGTTCTCGGACACCCCGAGATGAACCGAGTCGACCGCAGACCCGCTCTCCACGTCGGAGGCCATCTTGGGGACGGACGTCCTGTGCCAGGCCGTGCGACGGCCGTGCGCCGTGCTGGGATGGATAGATCTGGCGGATGATTGGTGGCCGGGGTTGGTGGTTGGGTCCTTCTCCAAAGGGGCAAAGTGGCTGGGGGTAGCCGTAGGAGTCCAGGCGACGGTGGTTAAAAATGGTCTGTAGGTGACCCCCCAAAGGAACTTCCTTACTTGTCATTCGATGAGTCAAACATATCGTCCAACTGGACTTCTAAGGATCTGCACATCTATGCCGCAATCAAGCTGGTCGGATTCTGCAGCACTGAAACTTGAGCCTTCCTCCGCTCGCCAGGCCAAGAGCGGAATGGGGAAGACCGCGGTCTTCGTGCTGGCCTGTCTTCAGCAGGTGGATTCCTCTGAAAAGGCCGGGCCAGGGCCTGGGGGGCCCTTGGGTGCTTTGAAGAGAAGTGGTGGATCTCGATCCAAGAGCGGAAGGGCTTTTGGAGGACGGGTGGGCAAGTGGGGCGGCCACCCAGGTTTCAGGGTGGATGCCGCGGGTCCTGTGAACAGCGTCGTTCTTCAAGCTCCACCAGTGAGCTTCGCAGAGTTTCTCCACTGCAAGAAATGATGACTGTGGGCTCTTGCCTGGGCTCGACGATTGAAGGCCAATCAATCTTTTTTCGCTTTTGGATGAGCCCTGGGTACCCAGCGTACAGGCCGGCATACAGAATACGGAGTCAAATGTGGACTTCTCATGAACACACGTGAGTCACGTGAGAAGTCTTTATTGTATTTTACTGTATTCTCCTCAGTTCTTAGGTCTCTTGAGCTCACCGCCAACTGATGCCAACAGCACAAGAGTTGAAAGCTGGACACCTTGTCGCAGCCAAAGAAAACAATGTTTTGGTAATTTTTGGTCTAGTCTACATCACTTGCAGCTTGGTTGAGGAGTGCTTTGGCAGTGAAAGACTTTATTCAATTCTTCTTTGACTGGATGTGCAGCTTCTGTCCAGCATGGCCCTGTCTATTCCAGGCAGTGCGAACGCTGGTCATTTGCCACACGCGCCGGGGACCCGGATGTTCCAGTGTGGCATCGGTTTTCCTTGTAGCACACTCCAGCAGAAGAATGGCCACTTTCAGTGAAGGGTTCTTCTAGAATCCAGGGACTGTGGCATTTTTGATCTGAGAAAGATAGAGTCACACAAACACAACAATTGGACGGAGGATTAGGACTCAGGCATGATTTTTCCACCTGGGAAATGAGGACCTAGGATTAGGAGGGGGGCCAAGTCACCTGGGAAAAGACAAAAAAACTGCTCTCGCTTCTTCCATCCGGGGACACTCATTTCCTGTCAGGTGAGTTGGCCTATCAGATCAAGCACGAGTTCGAGCGCTTTGCCAAATACTTCCCGGAGCGCCTATCACATGTTGCACGGTAGAAAGCGACCGGTCGCTCGACCGACTTGGGGACGAGCGACCTGGTTTGGCGGTCTCGACTGGAGCTCCCACACCGAAGCAAGCGTTGCAATTGAAACGAGTGCGCCTAGAAAGACTTCGATTTTGGTGTCTGGAATCTTGGGGAAACCTGTTTGGGTATCAACAGATGAAACAACTCTGGCGATGGTCGGAAGATGGAGGAAAGCGGTGCTCGTTCATGTGCAACTCTTTATTCAATCCTTTGGTCAGTTTGGACAGGCAGATCCGGTCAGTGCATGATGTTCATGCGGTGTGCAAGCCAGGGCTGCAAAACGCTCCGAGTTATATAAACATACCCAAGAAGAAGATGGTGTTTTTATGATTCTGATGTTTCTTCGCCACGGTGTGTGTTCTCCGAGGGTGTCTTGGGTTGAGATTACGGCGTGCGACACCCGTCGCGGTTTGGCTGTCGGCTAGGAGATCAAGACGGCGGTGGTCTATGGTGGAACGCCCATGTCGAAGGACAAGGAAATGCTGAAGGACGCGACACGCAATGTGTCATGCGAAACACGAAACGTCATGACACGGTGACCCGAAGCCCGTGTGACCCGAAGCCGCCCAACTCGAGGAGCAGCCTCAATGTGTTGAGTCCACCTTGAGATGACGTTGAAGCGTAGTTGATTCGAAGGGCGAGACAGGGGAATGGTGTGCAATTTCAGGATGCAAGTTGATCGATCCTCTTCCACAGATCCACACATATCCACCTGAGACTCAAGGCCAACCGTGGGAGGTTGGCCGATTATTGAAGGTTTTTTTCTGCTCTTTTTGTGCTAGGAGTCCAAAATGACATGGGGTGGTGCTTCACATACACTCACCAACGACTGCATCCTTTTTTGGAGAGATGCCTTCGGAGTCATCCGAAGTTGGATGCCTTTAGAGAGGCTTCCTTGCCATGTCGCCTCCCGAAAAAGATCACTCTCCCAGTCCCTGGCCACGCCGAAGCTGTGAGGACTCCTGCCCGCATATCCTCATTGGCACACCCGGGCGGGTGCTTGGACTCCTCCGTGAGAAGGAGCGGCTGTCGACGTGTGGGTTGCATTCTTGAAGCGAATCTCGACACTCCTTGAGAAGGAGGAAGAGACACCGAGACACCAAAAGGTTGATATTTTTTTGAAACCTTTTGGACATCCAGATCTAGACGTCGTTCGCACCGTGTGGAGCAAGATGCTCCTGAAGACGTGTGGACTTGGATGTCAACAGCGCCATGGCATGACTTGATCATTTGGACGCACGCCATATTTTCATAGATACATCATAATATGGGCCCTCATATGGAGCTTTTCATAATGTCAAGGGATATATGTATATATGAAAAAAAAACATCCCCTTGCATTCACAAAACGTACACCACCCATGTTTTTCCCGTGCAGGGCTGCCTGGGAGACTTTCTGGAGTTCCCCTTCACTGTAGGGGACCCCCCCCCCTGGTCTGGGACGATGTTCTCAGGACTTGAAATTGGATAAGATCCAGCAATTTGTCTTAGACGAATGTCACTTGGCGGCGATGAGAACGGTCTGGGTCTTCTTCCTCGCTTATCTTTGTTTGAGAATTCGGATGCCAAACAGAATGGTGGGCAACGCGCGGCACAGCGAGTTCAGTTTCCATCTCTTGGTGTGGAGGCATGTGTAGTGGAGTTCCTTTTTGGGAAACGTGAACATAGGACCGTGTCATCGGCCACTTCAGCACTGTGTCATTGGTCTTCAAGGGAGAACCGATGCAGAATGGTCAAGAAGTCCAGTGTCTTTGAGGCCTATGGGAACGACCTGAGAAACCACACCTGAGTGGCGTACTCCATAAACCTACGTTGCAGTGATTTGTACTTTGTCCCTCCGCTCATCTAGCTGAAGAACGAGAGACTTTCTGAGCTAGCTATGGTCTTTGCAATGGTTCAGTCTGAGAAGACCAAGCCAATATGCAAGAGACCCAAAGCATGGTGGACTACGTTACATGGTTGCCCTGGCCTTTGGGGCCCAGGCATCCCAGCTGTTTTTGGCCTCTTGACCCGCCAGCACAAACTCAAGCACCCTCTGACTCAAAGAATTGACTCAGGTGACAAGTGCTTGGACAAGGTGGACATGCGCAAGGACGGTGGATCCAGCGGATCCGGCATTGGTTCAGAAACATCCGGTTCCACTCTCTGAGAACGGCAGGAACAGCTTGCACGAAGGTTTTGGGTGGGCTTTTGGACGGGCCGAAGTCACTTTCGAGTTCAAGTCAAGTTCTCCACTTTGTTGTGCCAGTTGACTTGAATTTGTGTTCTTGTTTAGAGCTGGGAGGCCACCGAAGAGGGGACTTTTTGTTCAAATCCGCTGCAGGACGTTCAGCAGATCTTCGTGGAAACTCCCAAGAAGAAACAGGTGGGTACGATGTGGAGGGTGGAATTTGGGCAAACACCTGACTGTGTCTATGTGCTTCAGATCGTTGATCGCCCTCGGTCTCGTCTCAGATCTCGGTCTCAGGTGATGATGTTCAGCGCCACGATGTCGGCGGAGACCCGACAGCTTTGTAAGAAGTTCATGCAGGAGATGGGCCCGTCCGTTTGGAGACGTGCGCATTGACGGGATCTTCCCGGGGACCCTTTGTAAGATCCCAGTGGCTGAGGGTCACTTATTCAGCGGAAGCTCGGGTGGCATTGCAAATAGCCGCAGGAGATTTCGGCAGAGCAAAAGGGCCGAGATCGTGTTCATGATTTTTGTCGCTCCCCTCCAAGACAACCTTGTCAAGAATTACTGTACATTTGGTGAGGGAAAGGTTGCACTTAGACTTAGCGACTCTAATGTGGTAGTGAGCAGCTACTCCTAATCTTGAAGCTTGACGGTGCTTAGCATTCAGATACAGTTGAAAAGGGCTGGTTGTTCTCAGAATGAAGAAGGCCATGGTACTCTATTCTTGTCGAGCTGATCCTGCACAGTTTGAGTACTTCTTTTTGGATGGCCTGTTCACAAATTATCTATCTATCTATCTACCTACCTACCTACCTATCTATCTATCTATCTATCTATCTCGCTATCTCTCTATCTCTCTATCTCTCTATCTCTCTATCTCTCTATCTCT